AGGCGCCCTTTTCAGGTTCCATGTTAGTTGCGTTGAGGTAGCCCTTCAGAATTCCACTCCTGGGTAGGCCCCTGGGATATTTAACATTTTCCCTAATGGCTTTAATAAGGGACCCTATGTACTAATACTGTTCAGAGGGTTTTAGGGGCCAACCCAGACTCCTGGTGTGATGGGCTGGATGAAGAGCCTTTTTCCGTAATTCTTCGAGGCAAGGCTGCGGCACAATGCGGATTACGCAAGATCCCTTTACCAGACCCCCGAAAGGATCCAAAAAAATTGAGCCCTCCCAATATGAACCCATTACTACATTGGGGAAACTGGGGCATAATTAGGGGATTCCATTTTTTGGATCCTTTTTGGGGGTCTTGGTGGTTGCATCCTAAGATAAGATCCTCTTCTGCAAGATTCCCAGCCGTCCATAGGATTTTGCTTGACTTCTAAGGTCTCTTTCTCAGCTGCCAAGCTTCCTAAACCGCGACGCAAAGCTGTATGCCCTGAATTTAGCCGCAATCCCTCTGCACATCCTTACATATCCCTATACATCCTTACATATCCCTACACATCCCTGTATATCTATATATATATATACTCCTTAAAACATATCCCGATAAACTCCTTATAGCTAAACCTCAAAGCCTATACCGAAAGCTTCCTCGTTTCTCTTAAGGATTTTCCTGCGCGAGATCTGGAGGTTCGACCTTGAGTGGCCTAAAGGATTTGGGATTCGGGTTTTAGGGTTTAGGATTTGGCGTTTTGGGTCTAGGCTTTAGGGAAAGGGAGCGGAAACTATTATGTAGGGTTTAGGTTTTAGGAATGAAGAAAATGGAAGGTACCATTCAGGGTTTAGGGTTGTGGGCGCCCTCCGAAGATGGCGAGACTACCAGTGTTTGTCAAAGTCCTCCCTACAGAGTCCTTAAGAGTGATCTCCATAATCCTTTTCATAGCTCCATATACCCCTAAACGTTAAGCACGAAACCCTAAACCGCGTAGGGTTCCCATTTTGAGAACCCCCATTACTTCAGCAGCTGCTAAACCCTGAATCCTCTATATACCTATATAACCCTAACCCCATATAATGCCCTGAACCCTAAACCCTAAACCCTGCTTATAGTTCCCTTTAAAAGGGCTCCAAGGAGATTTTTTGTCAACCCATACCCTACGTTGAGGATTATGACCATCATATGACCCTTATGGGTCTAGGGGTTTTAGGGTTTAGGGTTTTAGGGATTCCGGGTTTGGGGTGTAGTTGTTGGGTTTAGGGTTTCTGGAATTCCTGTTTTGTTGGGGTATATACTTCGGATCCTCCGAGGTGTCTCCCTGGTGGAGGGAACCTCTGCGAAGTGGCAAGAGCAGGAAGATTCGCAAGATTTAAAGCCTCTAAATTGCTGAGCCTCGATGCAACCGGAGCTTTAGAAGACCTAAACCTAAGAACAACAATGCCCTGCAAACTTAACTCTGTTTCCTAAATCTCACAAACATCCTAAGCTAAACAGATCCCAATATGGAAGCTGCCTCCACCATGGCGTGGGCTGCAAAGCGACCGAGCTCTCACAACAAGAACGCGGGCGCTGCTGCCAAGAAAACTCGAGGCACAGTACCGAAACTGCTGTTACTAGTATTGTTATTATCACAACCTTTTTTACTATAGAATATTGGGGCTATATAGCGTTAATGGAAAAGAAAATGAAAACTACTGTAGTATATTGGGGTTATATAGGGATAATGGAAAATAGAATGGAAACTATTGCATCCAGCTCCCAAAGGCACTTGGCCCGCTTTGCAACCGGCGCCCAAAGGATGTGCGGACAATGCACAAGTTGTGCTAAGTGCTGGGCTTGCGCGTTGCGTCTAAACCCTAAACCCTAAACCCTGAACCCTGAACCCTAAACCCTAGACCCTAAACCCTGAACCCTGAACCCTAAACCCTAAACCCTTGGGTTTAGGATTTAGGGTTTAGGTTAATATTGCCAGCTCTAAGTGTCCAGGACCTTTACTTTCAACTGTGCTCAACCCGGTTGTGGCACAGAACAGGATTTAGGGTTTAGGGTTCAGGATGTCTCAAATGCATGCTGGTTGCATGTAAATAGATGTACATGCTGGGTAAACAAGGATTGAACTTACAGTCTGCAGTGCATGCGGGTTGATCCCTTTTGGAAAATTGTGTAGGGTTCCGGCAGGAGCCGTAACACTGGCGTGTAGTCTGTGTAGACATCTTTGGCTTGCTGGTGTTCGAAGTGAATTTCTACAGCAATCCTATTGTAACCCTTTATCCCTCCACCCTAAACCCTAAATNNAAACCCTAAATCCTGAACCCTTTATCCCTCAACCCCAAACCCGAAACAGATCCTACTGGCTTACTTGCTGGGGACCTAAGTTGCGAAAACACGGTTTAGGACGTAGTGTGAGGAACATAACTTGAGTTCATGTAGGTTTAGGGACTCAAAACTCTGAGCCCAAAACCCAAAGCCCAGAACCCTAAACCCACAACTCTGAAACCTGGACCTTGAACCCTGCATCCCAAACCCCCTCGCAGGCTGCACGCTGAACTGCAAACCCTAAGTAGTACGTCTGGATTTTGGACCCTTACATACCTAGGTAATCTATATAGTATGTGGAGGTTTCCGTAACTAGGGGGCCCCAATATGGACCCCAATACATGGTGATCCTTCTTCATCCCTACATGTCCCTTTGCTCCCCCCAATATATCCTCCTTATTCCCTTTAGGGCGGAGGCCATACCTCGTATGTGCCATTAAGTCCTACAAGCAATCTTTGTGCCCTCCAAACGGAGCCCCCCCCCACCCCCTCCCCCTTTGAGACCGAATGGTCTCCAAACGGTCAAAGATTTAAGTTTGTACTGTAACCTTAGGTTCTGGGTCCCAAATACCCTTATTAGTGATCATATTCTATGGTTTAGGGACCCAAACCCAAGGTTACAAACCCTAAGGCACAAAGGGAAACTCCCTGAAACGTGGGGGTCCTAAAGGGATGTAGGGGCTTGGTCCCTAAACCCTAAACCCTAAACCCTCATGGTTTCTGGGATCGGAAGGCCCCACCACTGCTACCGGGCGATTTCGCTGTGATGCGGGAGGTAGTGGCAGCTGTTGAGGAATGGGGTTTAGGGTTTAGGGATTAGGGTTTAGGGTTTAGGGTTTCGGGTTTAGGGTTTAGGGTTTAGGGTTTCGAAGGGCGGTCTAGGACACTGCCCCTCACTCAGTAACATTTGGATAACAAGGTATGATATGATCACCTTTATGTATGCACCTATATTTAGGCCTTCATGTTGCTTCATGATAGACTGTTGCTGGGTAGGAGCAGTACCCAAGCTACCTGGGGCTTAGAGTTCAGGGAAATTTAGGATGAGAGGTTTCCAGTTGAATGTTTAGGGTTCAGGGTTAGGGGTGCGCGCAGGGAAGATAGGATTGCAATGCGCTAATTAGAGTCCTTGGGGATTACCTAGAGATGATACAAGGCCGCAGTTCGGTGAAAACAAGGGCTCCTTTCAATCCCAGATCTTTTTTGCAGGATATATGCGGTTCCTAGGTTACGCGCCCAAAAGTCATTGATGCGAATGGCTTAGTGTGAAACAGCGTTTTTTGATGTGATGACTTCGTCTCAAAGGGCTCAACTTAAGGGCCCTTTCTTGGGTTTAGGGTTTAGGGTCCCAAAGCCGGGATAGTTGCAACAACCTCAGTGCAGACGGTGGTGCAAAGATGGGGCCCTCCCAACAGCTATAGTATATGGGCGTTATATGGGGATAATGGAAAAGAAAATGGAAGCTACTATAGTATATTGGGGTTAGAGCGCTATCATAGCTTGCGCAAAGTGGTGAAAGCTGTTGTCTGTGTGCAGTAACAAGGTAGCCCATAGGGCGAG